TGGGAAGTGCTGGTCTGTCACACAGGGGCCTCTGCTTCCTGGAGGTGGGACACAGGCAGGACCCCCTTAATGTGACAGAAGCTGCCTTTGCCACCTGCTGGTGCCTGCTCTCCTGCTGGCTGTGGGGCTCTGGACTCGGTGAACAATCATGCCATTGTGTGTGGTCCTGCAGGTTGAACCCAGGGCTTTTGTACTGAGCTGCATCCCTAACTCTTTTTTATTCTTCACTTTAATTTTTTGAGACAGGGTCTTGCAAAGTAGCTAAATGGCCCAGGCTGGGCTCAGACTTGCAATCCTGCTGCCTCAGCCTCCTGGATGGCTGGGGTTATACTGTGACCCTGTCCCCACACCTGACCTGTGCTTTGGACATCTCTGGCTCCTCCTTCATCACTTTCCTTTCCGCTTGCCTCCCTGCTGAGCTCCTGGAAGGCCACCCCTCCAGAGCTTCTCCTGCTTCTCCATGGGCAGTTCCCAGCAACTCCAGGTCCCCCAAGAAGTCCCTTGGGGACCCCAAAAGATTCAAGAAAGCAGGGTATCCCTTTTCTCTGCACAGAAAAGAAGAAAAGTAAAGACAGTTATGAAGCAGTCCAGGCTGGATTCCTTGGGATATGGTCATTCTTACTGTATCATCTTTTTCCCCAAGAATTCGTTCCTGGTCCCTGCAAGCGTGGTGGCCAGGCCCTGTGTCCTATGCCCTGAGGAAGCTCCTCGTCCCTGTCAGGTGGCCTGGTGGTCTTGGTCCCTTGCCCTGAAGCTGTTGCCACTCCCGAGAGGCTAGGTGTGGGCACTGGGCACTGTGTGCTGCCGGAAGGGCCACCCTGGACACACTCCCCTTCTCTCGGGGGCATTCACTTAATGAGATCTCACTGCCCTGCTCCGTGCAGAAGGGTAGAGGGAAGCCAGGGAGAGCAGGAGGAGAGGAGCTGAGCCTGCCCTGTCTGTGATCATATCGCCGCACCTGGGATTGAGCCCAGGCCCTCATGCATGGGAAGCAAGTGCTCTGCCTCTGAGCTGCGTCCTGACCCTGACCTGGTTTTGAAGTCAGGTCTTCCTGAGCTGCCCAGGCTGGCCTTGAACCTGTGAGCCGCCTTCTCAGCCTCCTGAGTAGCTGGGGCTACATGCATGCATGAGCATACAGATTTGGCATTTAATAGTAAACCCACTCTGTGGACACTGACTGGGCTAGTCGTGACAGTGGAGCTTCCCAGACCCAGTGAGTGGCCACTGGTCAGTCCCATGGCTTCTTGCACTGGGTGGGGGGTAAGTTCCCGACACATGCCTTTAGGGGGATACACTCAAACCACAACATGGGGGTTAGGACCTGGCTATCCTTAGGGGCCATTATTCAGCCACCACAGCGGGCTAGACCCCAGCTTCTTCCCCTGGGCAGCCATGACACTGTGTGGGGAGGGTTGGCTGACCTGCTCTGCTGGCCTCAGCACCCTGTGCACCCACAGGCACAAAGCCAGCGCCCCTTCCACCAATGAGAGAACTGCGGGTGCTGAGGGGTCCCCCAGGTTCCTGCGGGAGGCCGAGCAGGGTTTGAACCCAAACCTCAGCTCCTTTCTTTCTGTACCCATACCAAATGGCCACTCTGCCTTTTCTTTTTTGGCCACAGGCTTCAGAAGTTGGTTGGAAGATGCAGTCTCTCGGGGCTCTCCAAACACTTGTCCAGGCAGAGAGAGCCTCAGGGGACTCACAGGCTGGGAGGAAGCGACAGTGTCTGGCTCAGTGATTTCACTGCCTGTGCTAGAATATTCCCTGTGGTCTCACGGGGTCGGGGGGGAGGTGCATGGGGCCTCCCCAAACTGGGGCACCCTACATTGAATTAGGACAAAACAGGTGCTTGGTGGCTCGATGGCAGTGTGTGGGATTGGTGCCCAGAGAGAGGCTGGGTGTTCCATAACCTTCTGGAGGCCACGGACCTGGCAGGGAAGGGAGAAGGCAGCATGAGCTGCTGTGGCTTCCATGACAGAGTGCCACAAAGCATGGTTCTTACAGCTATCGACTCTCTCGGCTCTCGAGGAGTCCTGGAGGCCAGAAATCCGAGATCCAGCTGTCACAGGGCTGGACTTTTGACTCCTCAGGAGAGGGCCCACCCATCTCTCCCTGTCTCTGGGGGTCACTGACTTGTGGACATGTCACTCTGGTCCTCAGTCTTCACACGGTCTTGTCTCTGTCCCCATTTCCCTTTTTCATAAGGACACCAGTCAAACTGGATCAGGGCCTGACCTAATAACCTTCATCCAACCCACAAAGGCTCTATTTCTAAATGAGGTCACGTTCTCGGGAACGTGTTAAGCCTCAGCCAGTGTGGGAGAACCCTCCTCCTCCTCCTCATAAACCTGTAAGGGTGAGGCCTGGTCCATCACTCGGGATGCACTAGGCATGCAGAGAGGCCAGCTACCTGCTCAAAGTTGTGGTCCACAGCTCTGAGCAGGAGGGGCCCTTCTGGAAAGACCACGGCTTCCCTGGGGTCTGCAGAAGCCTTCAGAGGAGGGGACGGCAGGTAGGAAAGTGTGTTACAGCCCATCCCACCTGCTGATTCGGTTTCTGTCTTTGTCTTTTCCTCCCAACGGCTCCAGTTCTCCTTTCTGGCCCTGGTTCTGAGACTGCCCCGTTCCCATTTTTGGTTCTGTGAGCTCCTTGGCCACCTGCAATAATCCTGCAGTAAAGGCCCAGGCCAGGTTCAGAGCTGCCCGGGAGGTGGGTTCCCCACAGCCTGCCTGAGGGCCGGGTTATTTTTGAACTAACAGATGGGGTGCCATGAACCTGGCTCCCATGTGTGCTCTGAGGGTGAAGGAGCAGGTAAATGATGTCCCATCTTGGTCCCTCCTGAGTGACATGGGGGAGGGGACAGGCCGGGGGCCGACTCCCTGGCCAGGGGGTGCGGTAAGGGCCAGGCCCGAGTGAGCAGGGTCATCTGGACGGAGTGCCTGCTCTGTGTCTGTGGCCCCAGGCAAGCCACAGAATAGCAGTGACGAGAGCAACAGTGACAGCCACTGCCACTATGTCCAGCAGCCCAGGCCCTGTTCACAGTGTCCTGGCACTGAGCCAACTCCTTGGTCCTTGATGTGATGCCTGTCCCTGCTGGTGCACAGGGAGCTGGAGCTGCAGGGCACCTGTGGCTGGCGGCGGTCACAGTCCTGCCCTGCCCGGTGCCTGCTGCTCCTTTGCTCCTCCAGCAGGCCCCGACTTCCTGCTACCCCAGGGTCCATACAGCCTGACAGCCCTGGAGGTGGCTGGCCCCATCCTGCTGCATCCAGCACCAGGCTCAGCTCCTGGTGTGATGCGTGGTGTCCGCACTGACTGGCGGCTCTGGGTGATGCTCCGAGTGAAGGTCACAGAGGCTGCAGTGGCTCTGAACCTTGTCATTGTCAAGGGGGCGGAGCCCGGAGGCCAGACCTGGACCTGCGTTTGGAGTAGGAAGGACCTTCTCCGAGGTGAGGTGGGGTGGTGGCTGAGGAGCTGATCTCCAGGCAGGAGGGGACAGGTCACCTTCCAGCTGCCAGAGGTGAGCTCTGGGGCATGAGTAGGGCTTTAGCAGCTGTGGGTGTGGTTTGTAGCTGGGGGGTTGGGCTGGCTTCTGTCCAGGGGCTCTCGGTGCCGCACTCATCCTGAGCTGGGGCATGTGGCCAGGGTGCCCGGAGGACCCAGCAGTCCAGCAGGGTAAGGCCTGGAGCTGTGCAGGACCTTCCTTCTTGAGACTGTGCCCCTGCACTAGCTCCAAGTCACCCTGCAGCAGGGATGCAGCCTGGGCAGATATAAACCCTGGAGATCAGGAGTGGATACAGGTACCCATAGTGACAGTGACAAGGTTTGGAGCCTAGAGGTGACTGGGAAGTTGTGGAGTCCATGTCCCACGTCTCAGGAGACCAGTTGAAGTGGATAGGGCTCCAGCAAGTGCACGGGGTGTGGCAGAGCCCCCAGAGGGCCAGGGCCGGTGCCTAAGTGGCTGGGGCAGGGCCCTCGGGAGTCCACGGTGATCCTGGCGTGCACAGCAGAGCTGCACGGTGTGGCCCACCCACAGCACATGTCCTCCATCTAGCATCTCCTCCTATTGTCTTGGCCGGCACTTGGATACTTCTGTCCCCTTTCACAGGGGGGCAGGCCAGGCAGGATCTACTCAGATGAGCCAGGGGTACAGCTGGGTGTCTTCTGCAGGCTAAGGGGGACAGCAGGGCCCTGTCCTCCTCCCCTGAGGTTGTGACGTTCTCTGTGGGGCAGTGGAAGCAGTGGGTGGCAGGAAGCCAGCCTCTGCATTTTTGGTCCAGCACCTCCATCTCCTTCCTGATAGCCAGCCCTGCTCGCCTTTTAGCCACGTGATCACAGCCTGCCCAGACACTAGCAGCCAGGTAAACGTCTCTGGGGGACAATGCAGTGTCACCAGGGGTCCTGTGTCCCATGCCCTCTGGCAGGGACAGGGACAGATCTCCTGCCTCTGTGCCAGCTGCTTCCATGCCGCAGTGAGTTCTGGTCCAATGTCAGGCTTAGCCCACAGCCGTGAAGAAAGGACTCCCGTGGACACGCACTGAGCTGCAGGACGCTGTCGAGGGCAGAGGGGACTGGGCTGCAGATGTTTTGCCCTTCTGGGTCGACTGGTCCCAGGCAGCCGGGGATCTACGCGATGCTGTGCCCGAGGACTGAGCCAGGTGGTCCGGCTGAGTGACGGGCCGGGGGCTCAGCAGCCTGGCTTCACTTCCCAGTCCTGGGTCCGTCGCCGAGGAATGGCTTGGGCAGGGTCTAGGCTGTATGGTGTCTGTACCCAGCGCTGGCTCAGCACGCCCAGAATGCTAGGACAACTCGGGGAAAGTGACATGGATGTGGTGAAAAAGGAAAACGGTGTGGAGTGCACAGAATGTCCTGTGAAAAGCCGTTCTCCTAATCACCTGTCCCCAGCTGTCCTTCTCCGGATCTGCCTGGTTCTCCCAAGTCTTTGCACACAGTGCATCTGCCTGCCGCCTTCACAGCTGCCCCTGATGGTCCCTACCTTCCCGCAGGTCTCGGTGCTGGTCCTGTTTGCCCTGGCCTTCCTCACCTGCGTCGTCTTCCTGGTGGTCTACAAGGTGTACAAGTATGACCGCGCCTGCCCTGATGGGTTCGTCCTCAAGGTAAAGCTGTTTCTTCTGGGACCCTGGGGCGCCCGAGCAGCTCTTCCTAAGCTCAGGCCCCTCCTGTTGCTCTGCCCATGGCAGCAGAGCCTTGGGCTCTGTCTCCTAGACAGGAGCCTCCTTGGTTCCCTTCTGGGAATTCACACCAGGCCAGGGAACCCTGAGCCATCATAAGAAGAAACCAAAGGACAGGGCAGGGATGTGGCTTGGCGCTGTCTCCAGAAGGTGGACATGGGGCAGTCCTTGGGGTCCCCTTTATAGGCCCCTTATGCAGCAGCTCCACAGCTGGCCCCTGCCCCTGTGGTAGCCTGAAGGACAGCAGGTGGTACAGTGGGAGGTGGGCCAGCTACAGCCAGACTGTGGGGCCTGGAGCAACCAGCAGAGGCCCTGAGGAAGGCAACGTGATGGGGACGATCCCTTGGACCTCGATGAGGAAGGGAGAGACGGGCAGTGAGGTGGCTGAGGGGCCACTGTAGTGGGCAGGGACAGAGTGGTCTGGGCACTGGGGTCCTGGGGACAGAGAAAGAGAGCAGTTAACAGCAGCCTGCCTGGAAGATGGATCAAATCTGCAAAGCAGGGCAGGACCAGTGCGGGAGGACCTGGCCCAGGGCTGGTGACTCAGAGGCTGATGTCACAGGAGGGAGCAGAAGACCCAGGAGCTGTTCCATGCATTTGGGGATCAGCTGGCAGGTTCCCACCCCAGCTCTCCTCTGGGTCCCTGCCCAGCTGGAGCTGACTGGTCAGGGTGGATGGGCGGGGAGATCTGTGTGCCTGAGAGGCAGGGTGTGCTGTTCTGTTTTCTGAGCCCCTTGGGAGCCTGGAGCCTGTTGGGCTTTGTGGAGTTGCAGCCTATGGGACTTGGTGTTTTGCACTGAAGTGGAATGGAGGTGGATGAGGTCCATTCTAGCTGCTCTTGGCTTCCTCCTCTCTCCTGTGTGCGTACCACACACCCACAGCAGCCGGCTCACAAGGGCTTCTGCACAAGGCTCCCTGGAGGTGCCTGGAAGCCCCATGGGGTACACACCCTAATCCTCCCGCACCCCCATTTTACCAGTGGAAATGTATGTCCTGGGCAGAGATGCCCAGGTCATGCCCTCTGTTCACTCAGCACTCTGCATATATTTCCTCTGAGTCTGCTGCTGGTGTCTGGTGGGCACCGAGGACCTGGTCACTGCTGGACAAGATGCAAGGGGCCCCGTGTGCTGGGGGAGGCCCCCAACGGTCAAGCCCAAAAGGCTCAAGTGAGGGCACCATGAAAGTAACGGGCTGGCGAGGCGCCAGATTGTCACTTGAATTTTTATCTATGTAATATATATATATATATATATATATATATATATATTTTTTTTTTTTTTTTTTTGCAGTACTGAGGGTCAAACCTGGGGCCTTGGCACTGAGCTACAGCACCCCCCCCCCCAGCCCTTTTTATTTTTTGAGAGAGTTAAGTTTCCTAAGCTAGACTCACACTGCGACCCTCCTGCCCCAGCCACCGAGCTGGGACCCCGGGAGAGCTTCTCCCTCACTGACTGGGTGACGCCTGCCACCCTGCCTCTAAGTCCGCTCACAGCCAGCACCATCTACCCAGTGCAGGGTCCAGGACCCAGGACAGCAGCTGTGTTGTCACAGGAGGGGCCCTGGGTTCAGCCACGTCACAGCTTGGTGCCAGGTGCTCCTGGCCAGTGCAGGAAAAAAGCATGCAGATTGTGGCCTTGGACCCGGCTGCTTTGCTGGCTCTGACTACTGGGGACAGGGCCTGGCCTCCCTGGGCTTGGCTGCCACTTTGTCACTGGGCACCATGTCTGCACCTTCGAGGGCACAGCAGGAAGACCACAGGGACAGTGCCAGGGCTAGGACTTGATTGCAGGCTCTCCGAGGCCCAAGGAGGAAGAGCAGGTGCGCCCTTGGCCCTGGCCAGGGTCTGGACTGCCTGTCTCTGGACTGAGTCAAAAGTCTCGGTCAGCTCTTGAGAGGGTGACATGGTGTGGGGTGAAGGGCTGTGACCGCAGGCTGGGCCGAGCCTCACTTCCACACTTGTAAGATGGGACTAGCGGCACCCACTTCACAGAGGGCATGCGGGCTCCCACTCTGCAGATTGCTGGATGCCATGGTAACAGCAGGAGGGAATCAGGTGCACACCCAGACTTCAATGCTGGGGACAGGGGAGGTTGCCTGGAATCCACAGGATGGCCCCGAGAAGCAGGGACCTCAAATGGGAGGCCCATCGAGGCTGATTCCAGCACTCAGAGGCTCAGAGAGGAAGAGGTCCCTGGAGCAATACCCCAGGGTACCTGACCCACATCATTGGCACAGGGGGCACCATTATGCACCCTAGCAAAGGCCAGAGGAGCCTGGAGATTTGGAGGTCTCCATCAGGTCTGCTTACTGCTGGGGTAGGGTGGAAACTGCAGGGGCTTCTTGCTAGCAGGAGCTTCCAGGAGCAGGCAGGTGCCGTGGCTCAGCAGCTTTCCAGCCAGGCGGCCTTGGCCCAGATGCTGGAGGCAAGGGGTGAGATTCTGAAATGGGGCCTTGAGGTGGCTGCAGGAAGATTTGCTGAGTTAGGCTCAGTGAGGGGTTGCTGAGAAGGTGGTTTTCAGACCTCGTGGGTGAGAGGCGGAGGCCCCAGAGTATCTGGTAAGGGGCCTCATGCTCCTATCTGGTAAGGGGATCCTTGGCCCTGGTGGGATGTTTGGTTTGCCCATTTGCCCAGTGACACAAATCACAGAGGCCATGATAAGGAGAGAGGTTTATTACCCTCACGTGGAAGTCCGGCTGGCAGGCAGGGTGGGTCTGGACAGGCTCATCTCTTGCAGCTGGCCAAGGGGATTGATAGAGCAGAGGGATACAGTGTCCCTTTGGGGATCTGTCCAGCCTGCTCCCCTAACATACTCTTGAATCCTACTGGCCGGAAGTCAGTCACATGGCCTCATCTGGGTGCAAGGCAGGCTGGGAAATGTCATCGTTTCCGAGCGCTGCATGTCCTCTTGGACTCCAGGGAATGGGTATGAGTAGGCAGCCTCTGTGCACCACCGCTATGGGGCTGGGGTGAGGGGGCCAATGGATGTGAGCATGAAGACCCCTGTGCCTCACTATGCGCTCTCAGCATTAGGTACGGCTCTGGGGCAGTCAGTGTAGACCCCTGACAATTGGACGACTGTGGGGAGAGAATGCCACATCGGATCTTAGGATTCCAGCCATCTGGAACCTGCCCTGCATCAGCCTCCCCAGCACGCAGCTGTAGGGGCAGCAGCTCCCTGGCCTCACCCTGCTCTGCCCTGGAGCCTTCCCTGTGGCTTCCTGTAGCTCAGAGGCCCAGCCCCACCTCTTCCCTGGAGCCCCTTCTCCCTCTGCCTCTGTGTTTCCCTTCCCTCTACCCCAAGGCCAAGCCCCAGAGGGGCCTGGTGCAGGGACATCTGATTCAGTGTTCCTGGGCCAGTCAAAAGGTTCAGTTTTCCAATAGTTTAAAAGTAAGTGACAACCAATGCAAGCTCCTGAGCAAGGGAGGAGCAGGAGCAGGAGCAGCTGCAGGGTGCTGGCTAGTGTCTGTGCTGAGGTTTCCTGGACGCAGCGCTTCCGGCCTGGCTGCTCATCCTGGGGGGCCCCAGCCTGCCTTGGATGGCCCTCAGCAAGGACAGCGGGGTGCATGGGCTAGCATTCTCCCACACCCGCTCTTGTGTTGCAGAACACCCAGTGCATCCCAGAGGGCTTGGAGAGCTACTACGCGGAGCAAGACTCCAGTGCCCGGGAGAAGTTTTACACCGTCATCAACCACTACAACCTGGCCAAGCAGAGCATCACCCGCTCTGTGTCGCCCTGGATGTCCGTGCTGTCGGAGGAGAAGCTGTCGGAGCAGGAAACGGAAGCAGCAGAGAAGTCGGCTTAGCGAGAGGGGCAGGTTCCTTACAATGTGTCACTGGAAGGGAATGAAGGGACTTTGAGGGACATTTCATTAAATATAATTCCTGGCAATGTAGAGGTTACTCATTTACGGTGCAATTGCTTCTGTTTGCTAATGCTGCTTTGCAAATAAAACTCGCTGCTGGCCACCCATGGGCCTAACACCAAGCGCACGTCAGCACTGCTTTAGAGCTCTTGACACCTCCCCGTGGTCACTTCTTCATGCCGCTCCTCCACCGGCTCAGTGCTGTCTACACCTAGACGCTCGCTGGCTGCCTCGGGAGTTTGGACTTCAGAGAAATACTGCACCGGGTGGGGTGTTTTAAAGCCACCTTGCTCTCGCAAACCTTACTCTATAGCCATACCTGGGGTGACCTCTCGCTCTGCTAAGGGGCAGCCCGAGTGTCTGTGTCTGCCTACCCGAGCCGGTGCCAGGGCTGGCTGCCATGGTGAGAGGTGCAGGGCAGGAGGAGGGGCAGCTCCACTCCTCTGCCTTCTGTGCCCCTCGGCGCTGGGGTCTTAGCACCTCTGGGTGCCCTCTGGCAATCGCATCTTGACAAAAGGGGCGCCACTGTGTGGAGATGGCAAGGTTCTCTGCAGAGTGCAAGGAGGGTTGGGTAGGAGTCGGCCTGGGACCAAGGTAGCAGAGCTGTCTGTGTCAAGCATGGGGAGGGAGGCACTGGTCACCTTGGGTGGGAACACATCTGCTCACACAGACCTGCGGGCAAGTTCTAAGGAAAGTTGGGGGTCTTTTGGGCTTTGTTCTGTGACAGGGAGGGCCAGAGAGAGGGGCGGGCCACCCTGCAGACAGGACGCTGGCCCTGCCCCTTTGTACTGTTTCAGTGTGACGCTTGACATTAACTGTTTACAGCTGCCAGTTAGAGAAACTGTGTACTACCATTAAACAGAAGAATGACACCCGCAGACTCCCTCGTGCTGTTTGAACATGCGGTGCCTGGTGGCCGCGTCCCGTGTCACTGTCCTCCATACTGCCAGTAAGCACAGCACTCACGGGTGGCTCCCAGTCCCCCGCCCAGTACTAGTGCCCGTATGGGGTGTGGTTGGTGCGCGCACTGTGGAGGATGCTGTGGGCTGCAGGGGTGCGCACAGAGCGGTAGACGCAGCCGATCTGTGTCCTGTGTACTTGGGAAGACGGCACACAGCAGTCCTGTCTATGGTTTCTGGCAGACGTGTACTTTATTACTGTAACCTGACCAAAATAACTTTTGACATTCACTCTGCAAATAAAGCCCTGCAGGGGCCCAAGCTGCCCGAGGGAGGGAGGGGCCATCTGTGCCCACACCACATGCCGGCGCCCTCTGGGGAGGGCAGGGTGCTACGTGCGCTCATGTAGGGTCTCCGTCAGCCTGAGTGGGGGCCCTGTCCATGTCCTGAGGGTGGCAAGCAGACACAGGGGTGCAGATCCCCTCTCCTGTGGCCCGCTGCCTTCTTTGAGCACCAGTTCCTTGGACCAGTGCCACGAAATGTCCTCTCATGCCCCATCCCCACCCTACCTCAGAAGCAGCGGCGCAGTGGCTGGGCTATCCTCGGGGCTATGGCAGTGTTTATTAGACCAGCAAGGCAGTGGGCATTCTCCTTCCACGGTGCCAGGGTGGGGCCAGCTGAGGCAGACAGCTAGCAGCACAAGGAAGGATGGACTCCTCCCTGCTGGAGGATGTCACCAGGCAGGGTGCAGGGTAGGGGGAGCAGCACTTCCTCGGGCCGCTCCAGTTTGGGTGCGTTCCTTTGCAGGCCAGGTTGGGGGGTCGGTTTCGTCTCCCATGTTTTTGTCTCAGTTCCTCCGCTCCTTTCGCGGTGTGACGCAGCCTACACCCTGGTAGCGCATGCAGCGTGCCCGGGGCTCGGCCCCCCGCTAGCTGTCGTACCAGTCGAGGAAGAGCAGGGAGAAGGAGCACATCACCAGGAAGAAGAGGATCCACACTCGGAAGCCGGCATTGTTTTTGATGGCCTGCAGGGCAGAGCACAGAGGTTACCTTGCTGTCCACGGCCCAAGGGCCCCCAGGTCCTTCACACTGCTCTCCGTGGCCACTGCGGTCACTGGCCGGGCTGCCTTGCAACGAGGGGCGCCACACAGCCACTCTCCTCACTGCTGAACTGCAACTGCAGGAGTGCAATCCTGCGCACCCAGCAAAAGGGACACCCTGGAGGCCTCACTGCTGTTCAGGGCCCAAAGCCCTCTGCGCGCTCTGAGGAGCCTGCCCTGGGTCCAAACTGGCCTGCGCGGCTCCACCGTGACTGCCTCCTGACACCAGCAGTGACCTCAGCGCCTCACTGCTCCAGGATGCTCGAGCTTTGCTTGGGGGCTGTCGGGAGCACCCACCTCTCGAATGTCCTCATTGCCTTCTTTGATGTTTTCGGTCGCCCCGACAACCAGCTGGTGGATGCTGTCAATCTCAGCTTCCTGTGGGGGAAGAGGAGGCCGGGTAAGCGCAGTGCCGCCACCTCCGTCTGAGCCGTGGTAGTGAGAACAGAAGCGACCATGTCCTGAGGGCCAGGGGCTTCACTCACCCGGCCTGTGGGTCCACACAGCACCCACCCGTTTTATCAAAGGGGAGTTTCCTAGCTCAGTGTCACAGAGCAGCCATGTGGCAGGACTGGGACAAGCCCGCCCTGTGGGCCCTGCCTGTGCTCCCTGCCTGGCCCACTGCGTCTCCCTGCCACTCGCTAGAGGATGACAGGAACACACACTGTGTCTCGTGGGGCAGCCACATGCCAGCTTCCCCTCCAGCCCCGCTATTCTTCTGGAGGTGCAGGGAAGCTGGGTGCCAAGCAGGCACACTGGTTCACGATGAGCACACGTGCCTGGCACCTTGTCTAGATCGGCTACGGTCAGGAGGGGTCACAGGACGCCACAGAAAATGTTATCTGGACACGGGTGGCACAGGAAGTGGCCCGGCCTCCTGCGTGGAGCCCCTGGCCCACGAGCCTTGTGTCCTGTGTCTCCACAGTAGCTTTCAAGGGTCCCCTGCCCCTGCAGGGTGGCAAGGCTGGTGCTGTCCAATGGGTGGAGGTGGGCTGAGTACAGGGTTGGTGCGACCTGGCGGGCACCACACCCCAGGAGGGGCCTTAGCCACCTGATTCCCGGTATGACTGTCACACACTAGAAGGGACCAGGGGGGCGAGGTCCAGAGTTCTTTGCTCTGAGGTCACACCTTTCAGGAAGATCTCTGGCAGGAGCTGAGTGACCTCTGTCCATGTTCCTGTGAGGGCTGTGACATGAACCACTCAATACCACTGATGAAACAGGCAGTGACGTGTGTTCCCTAGGTCTCTGACACCAGAACCCCGAGTCCGGGTCTCCCAGGCCCGGCCCCTGTGGCAGCGGAAAGAAGGGGTAGGGCAGCATCGTGCCTGCCTCTGGGATATGGTGTCTCCGCATTAAAGACACCAGCTACTCCTCGGGCTGGGCTGAGTGCAGGGACGCGCAATGCAAAGCGGTGCTCAAGGCATTATACATGCGCGCACGCAATACTCAGAGGTGACAGGCTGGTGGCTGGCGGCTGTGACTGTGCTCCTGAAACAGCATGGAACCAAGACCTGCCATGGTTGCACCAAGAAATAATAGCGTCCCTAGATGTAGAGCCTACAGGGGACCAGCCTGCCAAGTGCCTCCTGCTCACTGGCTCTGAGAACCAGGCAAGTCACAATGACACCATTTCAGACGAGGAGAGGGACAGGGCTGGGAGCCAGTAGGCCCTGGACACTTGACATGTGACACAGGGCCTGGGTCTCGCCTGGCCCGTCTGAGCGCACGGGACGCAGGCTTTATGCTGTGCTGTGCTACCCAGCAGCCAGCTGGCGGGCCCAGGGGACACGTCTGCCACTCGGCTCAGCACAGGAGCCTGCGCACTTCTGTCAGTATGTGATGGAGGGGGCGGCTCTTACACCCTGAACTTCCAGCTGTGGCTGGACTCAGTTTACCCACTGGCTGGGCTCTAACTGGCAGTGCTCTCCAAGGAGCACTGCTCTCTGAGTGTCCTGGGCCCCACCTGACACTATGGAGAAATGCTGTCTTTCTAATCCGCCCGAGGTTCGTGGGGGCCACAGCAGAAGGGCTGCTCTAGTAGGGTGGTCTCCCGATCCTGCCAGGAGATTCCTGGAGACAGTGCCCCTGTCCCCAGGACTGCACACAGCAGTGTGGCCTGTGACCACTGTTGATGGAATAGCTGCTCCCCCAGGCACAGAGCTGGGCACCTCTGCAGGGTGCCCCCATTTTACAGGTGGGGCCCGTGTGGCTCACCCCGGGAAAGCCGAGCCCAGAGCTGCTATTCCCCAGCCCCAGGCATGGTCCTCCGTGGCCCCTGCACCCTGCCCCATGGGTGGCCCTGCCCGCCTCTGCTGTGGTCACAGGCACAATGCCCACCATGCACGCAGTGCCACAGCTCCCGGTGGAGGTGTTGCCTGCTTAGGACGTCTCTCTCCAAGCTAAAGTTACAACAACCACACATTTGGATTCCATTTACCTGCTGTAACACCTTCTCTGTGAATATCTCCTGGAGTCTGGAGATTTCCACCACTTTCCCTTCGATTTGCCTGCACAAGAATCCACAGAGTGCATATTAATCACCAGCACTTGGGGGCCCCAGCAGGCATGGGCACAGCTCTCTAGGTCTCTCCTCCAGGGGTGCAGGGAGGCAGGATGGGCAGGAGCAGGCAGTGGGCTCCCTCCCTGGCTCCTGGCCAAGCCCACACCGAGTAGGGAATGGCACTGACCGACCTTGGCCCCATGTTCTGGGCCAGAACGGAGAACAGGCGCTTAGGGCTATGTCAAGTCTCTGGTGAGTCCCAGGGCTGCCTTGTCACCTAGTCACACACATGATAGTTCCAAAGAGGACATCTGACACACGGAGGGTCCCAGACAGCTGCCCCCAGATGCCCCCACTGTTAGTTGAAAACATCGCCCCGACACTTCGGTGGCAGCACGGGCACCCTGGCCTACGCACTCTGGGAACAGCAGCTGGCACAGGCTGAAGTCAGCCCTGGCTTACTGAATGGGAGGCAGTGGAAGGAGGCAAATGGTGCCGGGCCTCCATGGGTACCATGACTCCCTCAGACTGGGGAGGGGAGAGGAGGGAAATGGGGGGGGCTGTCAGCGGAGAGCACCCCCGCCCCAGGGAGTCTCCCCTGATGTGTGCATCAGATTTAGTGGGGTGTCCACATAGCAGCACAGCTGCGCAGAAGCCCAGGCCCCCCTTGACAGCACCCCAGACACTCCCACCGAAGCTAAGGCCTCAGTGCTGCCATGGAGCCACGAGGCCCTTGAGTGAGGGCGGTTGCAGGTAAGTGGCCCTTGTGGAGGGACGGCCTTCCCAGGCCTGTGTGCGCAGAGGGATCCCAGGCACACAGCCCTCTGCACGTGGGCACTGGTGGCCACTGCGTTCAGTGATCTGCTCCTCTCTGGGTGATGTGGCACCTCAGCCTGGCAGCAGCAGCCACCAGCAGCAGCCTGGCCCTGGCCTGTCACCAGGGCTCAGAGGGCTGCACTGTGTGTCAGGCACCACCGTAAGCAGTTTCCAGGCCCTGGGGAAGCAGTAAAAGGGCACCAGCTCACCGAGGCGTGGGTACGTACCTCACTTCATCGAACAAGCTGTTCATCTCCCCAATGAGTCGCTGGTTTTCCTGCTCAAACTGCAAGGAAACATACACACTCAAGATGCTGCCCTGCAGAGCTCAGGTGAGCATCTGCTCCCCAGTCCCACTGCACACCCTCTTCCCTGCATAGCACTAAGATCCGGTGACCCTTGCTTCAGGAGGAAACTCACGCCTGTGCCTGAACCTGCAGGACAGAAGCCAACACCACAGCGCGGCTGTGTAGCGATGACGAGCTCCTGAGCAGTCTGTACCCAGTTCTGCTCTGCAGGGCACAAACGGCCTCTCCAGCCTCTGTACCCCATTCCCACCAGCTTGAGCCACCAGAAGTACATGCACGACTATCCCTTCGTGGCCTGTACCATCTTAGTGGAGCTATCCCACGCCACCTGAGGGACAGTCATCAGGTACCACCCGGTAGACCAGAGGCAGCTGACAGCAGGACAAACATGGTAGCTCTGCCGTGAATGGGTTGAAACGAGAAGGGGCTGGTGCGGGCAGCGGCTGTGGAGGGGTCGGCACTGGGGTCCTCAGAGCTGACAGTGGTGGTCTGGACCATTATAGCCAAGTGCCCTGGGAAGCTATGGTCCTGCCCACTGTGGGCACACAGGTCCCCATCAGGGGTCCCTCTTTTCTTTCTGCATGTTCTGTTTTCTGTCCCTGGCAGGGTATTTTCTAGCAGACCTTTGAATGCCCATCATTTTCTGCATGTGCCAAACTGGATGCCAAGAATCCTGGGACTGCACTTCCCGAGGGTGGGAATGGGCCATGCAGCACCTGACATTTCTCAGCCCGCTGCAGGGAGGCTGCCGGGCACGCCCTGCCCAGGACGCTGGCTCTCAGCCCTGCTGCTCCTCAAAGCCTGGCTCAGGTGGGTGGGCTAGAGACTCCAGAACAGCTCCCATGGCCCCTCGGTCACATGGATTATCTTGCTGGCTGCCCCCAAGGCACTGCTGTGGCCTTTTAAATCAGGCACCAGGAAAGTTACTGAGAATAAAAATTTCACTTTGGAGCTTAAAAGTGGGAGGGAGAGGGGCTGGAGATTTAGCTCAGCGGCATAAGTGCCTGCCTTGTAAGCAGGCAGTCGTGAGTTCAATCCCCAGTACCGATAAAAAGGAAAAAGATCAAAAAAAAAAAAAAAAAAAAAGTGGGAGGGAATCCCGTTAAGTGTCAGCTCAAAGTGACTTAGAACTCTGGTATTTGAGGAACACATGGAATTGCTTGACTTCTAGGTGCTAATTCTTTGCCTACTTCTTAGTTCCCACTCAGGATATTTGGGGAGGGTGTTTTTTGAATCTTCCTAAGCTCACAGTCCTTGCCTGTTCCTGAACAGAACTGCCTGGTGGTCTGAGGCAATTCCCTACAGGATCATTCTGGGAATAAAGCCTTTTTCCCAGCCCGAGCAGGTAAGACGGGTTACAATTCCTCTGGGCCGCCTGGAACTACACCAATCCTCAGACCTGAGGGTGGGAACAGATGCTGGCTCTGTCTGCCTGTGACCCCCAGGGCTGTCAGTGCCCCCAAGAGAACCCGGACCCCCAGAGGAAGGGAAACAGAGGCCTCCTGGGCCAGGTGTAAGTGTGGAGGGACAGGTCTGGCTGTGAGTTTACTGCCTGTGACCACAAGGCAGGGGCTTCTACGGAGGGCAGGGTTATATTGAAACAGAGTTTATAAACAGAAACAGCCGAGCCCAAACCTGGTCCTCGTGGTGACCAGGGCAAGGTCACTATGTGGTGAGGCCAGCAGGGATCATGCAGACTGGGTGATGCAGTGGGGACACTGTCTCGCGGGAAAGCCTGCACAGCTCAGGGTGCAGCTACGGGAGCCAGCTGCATGGCAGGTGGGAGTCTTTCCTCTCCTGCCTCACTGGATGGTGTGGAGCCGTGGAGGGAACCCCAGACCTGTACAGCTTTGGGGAGTGACTTGTGCCGGCTGCGGGGCTCACATTCTTCCTAAGCCGCAGGGCGGAGTGGGCAGTAGTTTACACAGAACCTGGCACACAGGGAGTGCTCCATCCAGTGGCTTCAGTGTTGCTCTCTGGGGACAGATGCTGCGAGGGTCAGGTGAGTAGTGCTCCAGGACCCCTTCTACCTTGCTGGCCACAGACTCTAGGGCTTGCTGTGGCCCTGAACTTTGTCTTTCCCTCAGGCCTGGGAAAGTACACACAGCCTCTCCTGGTATCCAGCTCCAGTTCTGGCTCTCTGGCTGTCACCTCCCCACAAAGGTAGGGGCCTGGCCAGGGGCACCATGGAGGGCAGGGCCTGGACTCCATGGCCAGGGTGGTAGGTAGAGGCATCTTTGAGCCAAGAAGGTAAGCCCGGGTGTTCCTTGAGGAACAGCAACTGGAGGGCAGCAGAGAGGCCAGGTTGTGGGGTGGACGTGCAGGGCACAGGGGATGACTGCTGCCTGTGGTTCCGGGGCCCCTGCATGGGGCCATCTGCTCCGTACTGCCTAGGCCTCCTGCCGGAAGCCAGTGCTGTCCCCGGCCAGGCCAGCCTCTTGCCCGGGGCTCTGAACTCAGTGCTGCAGCAGGGCTCCCTCTGTGCCCACCCAGAGGAGATGGGGACAGCTGTCGGCTTCAGGTGGAGAGGGGAACAGGGAGGCAGCCTGCGCTGCAGGACTGCTCCTTCCTCCTTTCCTCCCTCCCTCCCTCCCTCCTTCCTTCCTTCCTTCCTTCCTTCCTTCCTTCCTTCCTTCCTTCCTTCTTCCTTCCTTCCTTCCTTCCTCCAGGACCATCCCAGCAGCAAGTGTGGTTCAAAAGCACCATCCCAGCAATTATGAAAGATCCATTTAATCACGAAAACATTTACTGTTCATGAAAAGCCATCTATTATTAGTAAAATCATCCCAAGGCAGTTTCTTCTTTAATTATGCTATGGCAGATTGAAAGCATGGGAAAAGCTCATTACGGAGGAAGAAATTGGGCTGGGGATACAGCTCAGTAGCACAGCGCCTGTCTGGAAAGTGTGAGGCCCGAGTTTGATTCTTGGTAGCAAAAAATCAAAAAACGAAACAAAACAAAAAGAATGAAGAAATCAGGTGGGAAAGTGCATAGGAAATATATAATTTTTATCTTTTTTTTTTTTTTTGTCTTTTTCGGTACCAGGGATCAAACTCACGACCGCCTGCTTACAAGGCAGGTGCCTATGCCGCTGAGCTAAACACCCAGCCCCGAAATACATAATTTTTAAAACTCAGTATAAACCTCGGCAAGGCCCTTTGGGATGACCTTCCACTTAGTGCGGTGGTCTTAAAGCAGCCGTTAACAGTACAGGACATGGCAGGGAGGGCATTACCATCTGGATTTCCTCTGGGGATAACTCATCTTCGCCTCTGCCATCTCCCAGGGTTCCCAGCTCAGGTCGTGCATTGGCTACCATCTTTTCTGTTCAGATAAAAACAGAAACAGACACTGAGAACAGGGGCAAGGCCCAGTGTTTGCTTCAGAGCAGGGTGGTATAGGCAGCAGGTGTACTACACACAGTGGCTGGAGCAGAACTGTATGCTTTTTCTGTATTGCATTACTTCTTGGCCAATGCTTCGTGACTGCCACGGTGACTGTCACACGAAGGTTAGGCCCTGTGTGTGTGTGGTGTGCATGTGTGTGTGTGTGTGGGGGCATTTAAATACTGCTCTGAATTCAGCAAGGGCAGTGGAAGCAGACACCCTTCAGATCCAATCTTTCAGAGTACAGCACTTGAAAACATATGCCTAGGCTCCCTACTACTTTTAAAACTGCAAAATACACAGATGCTTTCGCTGTTTTTAAAAAAGGATACACAGAGAGACACAGACACCTTTTGCCAAGCCAGCTCCTCACTCAGGAGGCACCGAGCCAGTGTGGCCCCGGAGTCTCTATTCAGTACAGTCACAAATACGGACATGCCATTCCCTGCCCCCTCCACCCGGAACACATCACTTTATGTGCCACGTGGCTCACAGGACACAGAGACCCTGAGGGCACCACACTGTCCTAACAGCCGCTGCTTATAACTTATCAGTGCCTCTTGGAGACCATCTGAGGTCCGTCTACCTGGCTGGACCCCACTGTCCAGACCTCTGCACACTGTTCTCCTGGAAAGCGACCTGCTACAACCCCACTGCTCAGACTCGTTACACCAGCCCTTTCGGCAGCAGAGTGGCGCTGCCTTCTCCTCACAGAACTTCTCGGCCTGACCCCGGCCGTGGAGCTGTGGGATGGGGGTCTGAACAGCCTCCCCTGTAACCAAGGCAGAATGTGGGAAGCACAGTGATGCCACCGGAACCATGCCAAGAGGGCTCTGCAGGGCACAGTGGTGAGGAGCAGCAGGAGGAGGGACCACTCTCCGGCAAGTCAGAGAGGATGGGGTCTGCAGAGGTGACTGTGTGCGCCTCACAGGTGCCCTCTGGGCTTGTCAGCAAACGTGCCTTGTTTACCCTCTCTTCCTCGACCTTGGTAAACTTCCTGTTGTCAACCTTGGCATGGGCAAAGTCCAGGTCTTTTGACAGAGAAGAGACCACCATCATAGCTATAGTTTAGAGGCCGACTGTCCAACTGTCCATAAAATGGTTACTGGAAACCTCTTCCCAAAAACCTCCATCCAGTCCACAACTCAGTACAGGTTTCTAAAAAGCTGTTCCTCCAAGAAGAGTCACTGTAGGAAACGTCCTGAGAAAGGCTCGGCTGACAGCAGCTGTGCACCTTGAGTTGCCAGTGTTTTCCTGGGCCGGCATCCTTTGGGTTGGAGGGTCTGCACCTTCCACCCTGTCTTCTGAGAGCTCGCTGGCCCCTTCCCGTCTCCATTACAGGTCCCCTTTTAGCTTTTACTGTGTTTTTCTTTGTTTCAGGATAAGAGCACCAAAATTAGAAACATGGACACCTTGCTCCTATCTGAGCCAAGCCCAGAGCAGCTCTGAGCTAGGGTGGGACAGTTCATTAACAGGACCCGTGCTCTGTCCTGGGTTGGCTTTGTGGTGGCCTGAAGCCACCTGACCTACTGCTCGCAATGCAGAGCTCAGGGAGTGCCCTGTGCCAGCGGCCAAGTGCAGACGCAATGCCTCCAGCTTCCCACCTGGTTCCCTCTCCTCCTTTCCCCTGTGTGTCACCTTAGTGACCGCTCTCCATGCAGCCTGGCCTCTGAGCATCTGCCTGTGTGGCTTCCTGGGTCTCAAACTTCCTAAATGTTGTCAGGTCCTGACTGCCTTCTCAGGGCCACCACCTTGTGAAGTCCCCCAGACCCCATCTCTTCATGATCTCCCAGGGGCTGGAACCTCATCTTCCAGGTCAGCTGTGAGCTCCTGGAGGGCAGAACCGCTCTTCAGTGGAGAAGCACCACAGTCAGCACTGTGTTCACAAGGAACCGTGCCCATGTGAATGCTGGGGAAAATGAGGCTGGAAGCTGATGACCAATTGGTATGTGAGGAGCCTATGCTGGCCAGGCAGGGGCAGGAGAAGCAGGCCTGAACAGCAGGTGTACACAGGTCAGCGGTGGCTACAGAGCGGCTCTGAGAATGGACAAGACCATCTGCCACCAACCACACCACCTAGTCCTGCCCCAAACCCTGTCTGTGACATTTCATTTCAAAACAGAAATGAGAAGACCAAAAAGCAGAGTACAGCACACCATCCACATAGCCCAGGTTTAAAAAACCTTTCTGGCAACCACTGATACATTTGGCGAAATGTCCGTGAACAGGAAGGAAGGAAAGGGCAGACCCAGGACCTGGGAGGGGCGCGCCTTGGTGCAGGAAAGAGTTCCCCTCCACTCACTGCCCAGCAAATCCATGCGGGTGCGAGCTTCCGCCAGCCCTTGTGTCTTTCTCAGATAAGGACGGGCTGACTGCAGGGACAGAGGGGCCTGAGTGGATTTCGCTGCGACGCCCCATGAACTGCTTTAGAGCAGCAGTGCCATGCCTTCGTGGGTGATGCCGTGGGAAGGCCTTGTTCTGCTTTGAGCTGGACTCTACTGAGTCAGTCTCTTCAAATCTGCTTCCTCAAATATGAATGCCCCCACAGCACACGTCCCAAAGGACCCCAAGGAGCCCACTCTGTGCCCACCCAATCTAGGAGAGTCCGAACCACAAGAAAGGCCTCCAGAGCCAGGACCACACAGAATGGTTTTACTCGTAGTAAAGGCAGGCAGCTGTGCGACACAGGCTTCAGAGCCAGGCAGATGTGCTCCTGCCCAGGCTGCTGTTCGTGAGCTTTTACCTTGGACAGCTTAGCAGTCACTCTGGGCCCTTCAGAGGGCACTACTGAGAAAAGAGGCTGCTTGAGCAAGGTGCTGACCTGCAATGATCAGCCTGGGGCCTCATGTCTGAGGACAGGGCAAGGGGGTACAAGGGAGGCCAGAGAAGGGACACGGAGAAGACTGGGGCTCTCCAGGCCTCAGAGTCACACAAGACCCGCCCTGCTGCTAGCAGTGTTTGGGATGGTGTTCCTTGTTAGGAGGGGAGGTGGCTGGATGCAGAGGGAAAACATGCAGGAGATCTGCTACTGACAGATGTAAGGAGACCCCGCATTTCCTCGGTATGCGCTCTGAGACCCCAGCCCTGTGTCCTGCGGGGGGGGGGGGGGGGGGACAGGACGGTGGGGGGGGATGGTCCCTGGGTGTGGTGGGGGGGATGGTCCCTGCTGAGGGCCTTGGGAAACAAGTGCGAGGGGGGCTTCCTATGTGGGTCCCTACCTGGGTACTCCGTGCAGGCGGGCTTCTCTTCTGAGTCCTCGGAAGGGGGCTCGGAAACTTTCTCGGAAGATGCAGATTCTCTTGCTTTTGCGCTTGGTTCTGGTTCCAGCTTTGATCTAAAAACAAGATTTTGTAAGTCGTCTGATTTACTTCCAAACCAGGTTTCTTTCTGACAGCAGAAGAGGCACCTGTGACCCTTGCATTTCTGCTGTGCCCTTCTACTGGGTGTAGAGTGGCTGCCTCGGGGTGGGATACATGGCCCCACCTCTGGGGGCAGTTCTAAGAGGCGGAGCATGGCCTCTTCCAGGTGGGGGCTCGCAAACCCTCTCCACTCCCAGCCCAGCATGGGGACCAGCACTGGGGAGACGGAGACAGCAGGTGCCAAGCGTGCCTGTCGATGGACCTGCGACACACCACCTGACCCGCAGCTGACACATCGAGAGACATGTCAGTCCGAGGACTTGCTGGCTTTACACCGGGGCCAGGGTGCCGCTGGCCATGTGCATACTCCCATCTGCTCTAAGTTGTATCTCAGAAGCAAGATGAGGCTGTGACTGTGCCTAGACGGCCCCGGCCGCCTGGCCTTCCTGCCTTCTCCCACAGACTTGGCCGGGGCACCTGCGGAGGGGCTGCCCAGCTGCCCATGTGAGGAGGGGCCCTGCAGTGCACTATGCCCATGCCCGACCCTCCGCAGCAAAGCCCGGCTGCACGCATGCGCAGACTGCAGAGCAGCCTCCAGGGCTGTGCGTCCTGCTCAGCCTCGCTCGTGGCACTGATGACTGCTGTGGTGAGGCCCACAGCTCCCCGGGGCCCTTGTGTCAAAGGCCTGGTCTCCCACTGGCGGCTCTCTAGGGACATGCTAGAAACTGTAGCACGGGGCTGGAAGCTGGGTCATGAGGGCAGTGGGCTCTTCATGGGGACGTTGGGGCCCAGCCCCTTCCTGTTTCTTTGCTTCCCGGCTGCCATGAGGTGCACAGGCCTCCTCCACCACAGTCTCACCATGACGCCCCTGTCACCACACACTCAGAGAAACAGGACCCAGGGGCAAAGGCCTAAAACCTCTGAAACTGTGAGCCAAGGTAAACCTTTCCTTTCTTAGTCACTTGGTTATCTTGGTCATTTTGTTACAGTAACAGGAAACTAACACAGTGTTCAGTAAGATTATGCTGAATGAATGCCTTAGAAATACCAGTAAATGAGAAAAAGAAATTTTGCTTATGGAATAACAGGCCCTTTAAAGACTACTGGATTCTGTACAACCCTGTGAAAATTATAGGCAGAGTGCTAAAAAGATCTATGTTAAATTTCATGTTGCCAGAGACTTGTGTGAGCCACACAGCATATGGCAGGGCTGAGACTGGACCGCTGGGGACCCAGGTCAGGAGTCCCTGCTATGTCAATAAGGGAAAGAAAGCCTTTTTAATCAGCACTGCCAAAGTAAGAGGTGTCTGCGTGGAATCAAATGAACATCAACCTCCACCATCTCTCTCCACCAAAATATGAATCTAGTGAGATGCAAGATAATATACATATACCACCATGGGCCTAAAAATCCCAGGAGAAAGTGTAAAAGAGCATCTTAGTGATCTTGGGACAGACAAACTGCAATTTTATAATATTGGGCTTCCTCAAAACGAAATGTTACTGCTTATCCAAAGACACCAGTGGAACAAGGAAGAGAAACACCACAGAGTGGGAAAAGAGAGCGCAGCATGTATCTGACAAAGGGTATGCAGAGTTTAACAAACGCCTCCATAGAACAACAAGAAGGTAACAATTCAGCAAGGAGTGAGGAGACCTGAACAGATACTCCGGGAGACTAACAGGCAGTCCACAAACACACGAGCAGAGGTGATGTGCGTCCTCACCGGGAGGGCAGGCGCACGCTACATCGCAGACATGGAAACAGCTTTGAAATCTGGGCAGGAAGATGCGGGGACCTGGAACTGCCATACACTGCTGGAGAATGTGCAAAATGGTGTCACATTTTGGAAAAGGTAGGCCGTTCCTTACTTAGATCCAACAATCATGTCCACTGCTACAAGCAACCTCACTTTTAGATCTTCACCCAAGAGAAACTAAAAGGTACATTTAAAAAATGTTCACAGCAGGCTTGTAACAGCTCAAAGGGGAAAGAGTCCCAATGCTAACAACACAAGAATGGATGCATCAACTGTCATATATTTAGGCAGGCAAAGCTGTTCAGTAACAAGAACACCCTGCTGATAAACATACCCACATGAGTAAGTCTAAAAAAATACTAAGCAAAAGAAAAGCCAATTAAAAACATGATGCAAAAAGAAACTTATTTAAAAATAAACCAAGGATTTATTCTATTTTTGACATTAAGTGTGATTATAAAATTTAGTATTTATCATTTACTATTTTACCTCAAATGTTGTTTTGGGATTTAATAACTGAGCAACCTAACATATGAGCCAACATTTCCACTAGCTTTAAATAAGACATGCAACTGCTAGAATTTTCAGATTTTCCCCCATTACTAAGTGACAAGTGGTGTGACTTTTGTTTTTCCATCTGTGAAATGTGGCTGTAAGAATATCTTTCTTAGACAGCTCGACACAGCTGACTGTGCACATCAAGAACTAAACATTAGCCCTTACCATTGCTACTCTATTGCTGCTGCTGCTGCTGCTATCATTAGGACTGAGGAAAGGCAGAGTGGTTCATGGAGAGGCTTCTGTGAAGCCCTAAAGCAAGACACAGTGCCTTTTCTTTATCAACAAGATGCAGACCAGCAGAGGAGAGAAGTCCTGCGACAACTCACAAATAACCTGAGGGATTCCCGGCGGGGCATACTGGTGCAGTCTACACAAAGGACTCGTGGGGTGCCCCAGATGCAGGTTCAACTGCTGCTGATCGATAGGCTGCTGTGATGGGTCAGGAAGGAAGTGAGTCATCTTGAAGCTGGCTAGGCCCAGGGTGGTGGCTACAAGCTTTCTTCTAAAATCTGGGTAGAAGTCACCCTGACCCCATAACTTTTGCATTCTGCATACACCTAAAATCAGTACCACACAGATGATGCCAGGGTCTTCTGCCAGTTGGAACAGTAGCGAGGCCTCCTCTCTTGGCCGTAGGAGTTGAATGCCTATGAACCAAATACCAAGGAATAACTTCCTAGGTTGCACCATTCTGGAACATAGTGCTGGGGACTTGAATTCAAAGCAAAGTCTTTCACTTTTGCAATTTGAGATTACAAAGGGTGGAGTCCTGCTACTTCCTGTGATGCCCTCAGGCCATCTTTTTTATTCTCCCATTGCTTCTCATCAATCAAGGACTCTTACTCTATCTTTAGAGTCCACAGGTTTACTGGAGTTTCCTCTCTGGCCAAATTCACATTTTACATCATCCTGCTTAGCTCTTTGTTGTTGATTCTCAACACAGATCTGGCTAAAAGCCAGCAAACCAATCATGCTGTGGCTTCAACATTAAACTCTCTTAAAATTCTTCTGCAAGATTAATTTGTCCACTGTCCTTAGTCAAAGTCTCTGGACAAGAGCAAACTGCATACAAACTTTCTGCCAAGGCATAACACATGTTCTGGAATCCAAAGTCAAGGCAGTCCTTCCTCCCAGCAGAAACCTCCCAAACCTAGTCTGTAACTGGCAGGATTTCTGGTCTTCGGAGCTCTGACCAGCATCTCCCATCTAAGTACAGCTTCTTTTTCAGTCAGCATCTCTGAACCTTTCCAAACTCTTCCCACAAGCCAGTCCCAAAGGCTGCTGAGCCACATAGTGGTCAGGTACGGTTACAGCATTGTGTGTGCCATGCTGTTACTTCGGTGCCAAATTCTTAGTTACTTTACTTGTTGTTGAGAAAAAATACCTGACAGCTAAAGTTAAGGGAGGAAATGTTTATTTGGCTTACAGTTTGTAGAGGTTTCAGTCCATAATTGGCTGGCTTCAAGGCAGGGTGTCACGGCAGAGGAGAAATAGCTTATAGCAGAAAGAAGGTAGCAAAGCAAGCAAAGAATCCTCACATCTTTCTGCCCCTTTTATACTCTATCTAGGCTAATGGGGTTAGAGTGGATGCCAAACCAATCAGTGGCCTGATTTAGTAATCACTTACCATTAATCCTAGCACCACACCATGAATCAATCCCACTCTAGATCCAGCCACTTCTGAAAAAGCCCCACCTATGACCACCATCAATACCTGACTTTCACCTTTTCTTCAGACCCCATTCTGTTTTGACTCAATAATACCCTTCAGAACAAAAAGACAGTCTGGAATCACACACCATGCATTATTCCTCTCCAGCCCCCCTTTTTAGAACAGCTCTTTAGTTTCCCCTTGTGAGTCCTGACCCTGGTACACAACAATGGGCCCGTTATTCTGCAGATAGCTCTGAGCTGGAGTTTCCTCCACGGTAGTCAGGCTATGCCACGCTGGCAGACATCTCCTAGGTGGTGCTGCTCTCCTCGTGATACCCATCAGGCTGTGTGTGATCACACAGCCCACCTCATCAAGGGGGTGGCTGCCAGGCTCCCCTGCTATGAAGTTATGCTTTCTCCCTGTACCTAGCAAGCAAGGGGTGTCTTGGCATGTTGCAGTGATTTCAAACTTTTAATCTATTCATTTGGTTATGCATATCCAGGACTCAGGATGCCCTATCTCATTCCACAGTTTGTAATCTGCTTCGATCTTTTTTCTGCCTCTTGGTCTCCAATTTGGCTGGCAGAAAGCCCTTCAAATTGCCTACAGTGTCCTTTAGCATTCCCTGAGCCCTTCCTTGCTTTCTGCCATAAAATGTTCCAGGCTCATTTCATACCTTCTCTGCCCCTGCCTAAGAACAAGCTGTGTCTCCAGAAGCCTGACATCTCAAAGCTGAAACTGGTATTTAGCAACAAGACCTAGGGGTAGGCATGCTCACTGCTAGTGGGGTGTCACTGCTATGGGCCTTCCCAGAGAAATGTGCTAGAGTACACGTGTGCATTTTCATACACACACATGCATACTCACGACATTTACTGACCTATGAAATTGATGAATTTACACCAGTATCTTTTATTCCAACCCAAGACCAGAGTTCACTCTGGACTGTCCCTCTCCACTTCTACAGTGAGAAACTAGCTTCTAATATCCTCCTGTTTCC